ATTGTCTGTAGGCGTTATTTTTTAAGAAGCAAAACAATTTTTCAGCTACCCCTCCTGAGACCTGCCTGACACAGAGAGCCAAGGGACGTGCTGGTGTATTAACAGCTGATACTAACGTGGCTCACCTGCGTGTCTTTGCTCTGCCCGGGAATGCTCTAAGACTTTGCAAATAATGACTCACATTCTTCCAGTAACCATTGAACTGTGTACCATTTGTATTTGTAAACACAGGGCCAGGTCTATTGTCTGCCTGTGCTCCTGGCACTGATAGCTCAAGCCTTGGTGTGTCCCATGGCGGGGACACAGGACAACCAGCCACTCAACCGCACAGCAAACCCCAGTTACACTCCATTTGGTTTTCTTGTTGATCTTGATGAAAAAACTATGACTCAGATTTCACACAAATTTCCCCCAGATTTAATGTACTTCTGACAGTTCTATCAGCTTTGGAGTTCCATTTATTTCCTCCTGTCTCCTTCCTGCAGCCATCACATTTTTATATGAGGAGAAAGAGGAAGAGAGGAACTTGAAAATCTGATTCTGATGCCTGGCCTTGAGCAGGACATCCCAAAGCTCCCCCCTCACCCCCCCCAGGTCTGGGGCTCAGGCCCAGCTCTGTCCAGCCCCTGCCACTCCTGCTCATTACCTGCTGCCAGGCACTTTTCTTCCTGCACCAGAGGCTCCTTGAAGGCTGTAGGTACCATTAAATACGTCCTGCATTAGGAAGAAGACACAGATGCAGATGAAGAAGAGGAGGAAGAAGAAACAAAAAGCTTCCACAGCCCTGACCGTGTGGCGCAGGTCTGTGCACTGAAGGGTGGAGGGTTTGATTCTCAGTCAAGGGCATGAATCTGGGTTGCAGGGTTCATCCCTGAACCGGGTCAGGGCATATGTGGGAGAGAACAACTGATGCATCTCACACATCAGTGTTTGTCTCCCTCTCCTTCCTCCCTCCCTCCCTTCCACTCTCTCTAAAAATCAATGGAAAAAAATATCCCCAGGTGAGGATTGAAAAAAGAAAGAAATACAGATGACTAGTAAGTGCATGAGGGACCCTAGGCTCTCAGTGGGGTAGTCTGTGAATCTGGGTGAAGCTAGCACGTGTC